ATTGCCAATGGCATATTACAGACAGAAAGAAGCGTTAGAACTGATGTAAAATACAGTAAAATATCTTATACTAACCCTGGAGTATTAAATTCGTCCACTGGGAGATTATCAGTCGACGGCCAGTTAAGGACAGCGTTGACTTGCTCTTCCTGATGGTGGTTTTGAAGAAGAGGAACACCTGACATTGTAACGTTAGTACCACTTCCTTCGACGTCACCCGAGAGGCCACCTTCCTCCTCTTCAGTGCTTTCGTCAGTGTCCTCATCATTGCCCCCACTCCCAGTTGGAGGAGGTGGATCATCAGCATCGTCATAACTGAAAAATAGTCATAACATAAGGGACAGCTCCTAATAACGAAAAATAGGATAGCATTTGAAGTGAAAGTAACGAATCTAACCCATTCACTTGCGAGAAGACGTCACCATTCTCAGGAAGCAGAGCAAGGTTTGCCTCACTGATTTCAATGTTGGCATAATACGGGTTGTTGTCACGCAGCCATAGAAGCGCTGCACGTACAGCACCACAACGGACCCGGAAATCGACATATCCATCGGAATCCCGCAGTCGTACCGCCACAATGGAAGTTAGGTCCTGCAAAGGTGATGTACATCAAAAATTAATTATATGCCTGTTAATTTATATGTATTTTTTTATATGCCTATATTTAATTGCTTGTTAATCTTAGACCTGCCAGGGCCTTTGATCTTTGTTTTTGGTGATTTTATTAAATTGCAGATCTATTTTTAGAATGAGGATCAACAGCAGTGTGGAGTAATGCAGTGATTAGGCATTTTTTCGTGAAAAACATGAAATGGATGCACGTGCACACATACATTGTGTATCGTAGGACAGTATTTAGCAGCATTAGAAAAGTTTGTGTCACACTGCTTTTGAATTTTAAGGCAGTATGGTGCCCTTTGGGCAGGAAAAAACGAACCCACCAGTGCGCTAGAAAACCCGGTTTACGTACATTATTTGCACTGTTAATGATTCAAGGTAAGGACAGTTGGTAAAAAGTATAACCTACCTGTATGCGGTGAGGCAGAGAGAGAGCCAATTCATTCACATTTTGAGGAAACGATATCACATTCCCACGGTATCCCATTTGGTGGCCACGAATCCTGTAGACGCAGACCACTGGATGGATCCGGGCTATTAGCTGCTGCTCCACAAAAGTCAATCCTCGGAGTACTGCTGGCACGTTACCGGGGTCCATTAGGTTGTTTGCGGTGTACTTGTGACATGTCCTGCCACACTTGTGATTGGGATCAGTCTGCAGTGACCGCCTGTTGCAGTCGCGACAAGTAAACCAGTACATGCTTTCCATGGTTTCCTCGAAAATCTGAATGAGATCAGTGGGCGCAGGGCGCTGGTCATGACCCCGAACTCGCGCTGCCGGAGGGGCAGTAAGGGGAGCAACGAGGCGGGACCGCAGATGGCGGGTATTGTCTGCATGAAGACGTGTGGCACGGTCACTAAGAGACTCAAGAAGCCGTTGAGAAGCGTGCCTTGCAGCATCCTCGCGCCGCCTTGCTTCAGCGGCCACGGCCTCTTCAGCGGCACGTGCACTAGTATGACGAAGGCGGTCGGATCTGCGTCGTGCATCGCTTATGTCCTTATCGTCATCGGTACGACTTTGCTTGTGACGCACAGCATCCTCCTGACGACGGGCCGCAGCAGCTTCCA